TCGTATCCACGTACCACGTGATGATCAAGTATCCGGTGGGTGAAAACGTTGGTGAGATCGCTGGGGATCAACTTACCTCGAGGAGCTGTTACCAGACCACTGTGAGCAACAACAAGCAATTGGCAAGGAGGCAGATGCACCCTAAAGGGGAGGAAGTTAATCGACCAGGAGGGTCGAGGTCGAAGGAGGAGAGACATGAGCCGGAGAAGGGGAAGGAGAATGTAGAAATTCAGCCGGGTGGCGAAGTTGAGGAGATACAGATGGTCGAGGGATATGAAGAGAGGAAATTTTGGATCGGGAAGGAATTGGAGGAGCCAGTGAGATCAAGGCTAATTAAGGTGATAAGGGATTTTGCGGATGTGTTCGCATACTCGACGGAGGAGTTGACTGGCATCAAGGCCGAAATTATTGAGCATCGGTTGAACATCGACCTCACTGTGAGACCGGTGAAACAAAAAAGGAGACACCACGGGGCAGAAATGGATAAAGTAATCGAGGCGGAGATGGAAAAACTCTTGGTGGCAGGTCATATAAAGAAGATCCAGTTCCCAGAGTGGCTATCGAACACAGTTATGGTCTCAAAGTCAGAGGGGAAATGGCGGATGTGCATAGATTTTCGAGATTTGAACAAGGCATGCCCGAAGGATTTATACCCGCTGCCCAGGATCGACCAGCTGGTCGACTCCACAGCCGGGTGTGAGCTACTCAGCCTGATGTATGCATCCCAGGGTTATCATCAGATCCCGCTGGCTCGAGATGATTGGAAAAGGGTCAGCTTTGTAACAAGCCGTGGAATATACTGTTATGTGGTGATGCCATTCGGTCTAAAGAATACAGGGGCGACATATCAAAGATTGGTGGATAAAATTATTAAGGATCGGCTGGGAAGGAACATGGAGGTGTATGTAGATGATATGCTGGTAAAGAGCAAAGAGGAAATTGACCATGTGAATGACCTGAAAGAAACATTCATGACCCTCCGGAAGTATGGGATGAAGTTGAATCCGCTAAGTGCTCATTCGGGGTCAAATCTGGGAAGTTTTTGGCTACATGGTCACGAAGAGGGGAATCGAGGTCAACCCGGAGAAAGTAAGGGCGGTGGTCGAGATGCAGCCCCCCACGAAGGTGAAGGAGGTACAGATCCTAACTGGTCGAATCGCAGGCCTGAGCTGCTTTATTTCTAAGGTAGCTGAGACAAGCGGGCCTCTGCAGCCCCCCACGAAGGTGAAGGAGGTACAGATCCTAACTGGTCGAATCGCAGGCCTCAGCTGCTTTATTTCTAAGGTAGCTGAGACAAGCGGGCCTCTGTTTAAGACACTCAAGAAAAGCTCGAAATTCCAATGGACAGAGGAAGCCCAGAGAGCATTCGAGGAGTTGCAGAAGGTGCTGGTCGACCTACCATTATTGGCAAAACCAGTGCAATGGGAGGACTTGGTGTTATATGTGTCCATTGGTGAGACGACAGTAAGCTCGGTGTTATTGCGGGAGGAAGGAATAGCCCAATTATCGATCTATTACGTGAGTAAGGTGATGCAAGGGGCAGAGAGGAGGTATTCAGAGATTGAAAAAGGGGCTCTGGCGGTGGTTGTCACCGTAAGAAAGTTG